TGGGTACATCAGTAGCTGGAGAGAGGCTGCACAGCTATGGAATCAACTGGTACCAGTTGGTGGGTTGATGGCTGGCCTAAAATCAGTACCCTGAGATGGGGGTCTCTGCCTCCAGGCTGCCCCTGTGGATTCTCAGGAGGCTCCACCAGCCATTGTGTTTTGTAGATTGCTTTCACCAAGATAGGGGATAAAGGTTATTTTTTATATAATAGTGAAGGTCTCATAACAGTATACTACTCGATGTTGGGTACAGTGTTTAGTTTCATGTCAATTAGGGATCTTTGTTGCTGGCAAAGTAGGAAAGATATACAGATATACTGAATTGCAGAGTTTGGATTACCAGGAATTGGGAGGCAGACAGGAGGCGAGGAAAGGCCAGGGGACTAGTCTTCATGCTGCTGTTGCTGCTGCTGAGTGAGGGGTGTAACCTCCAGCCATCACCACCTGTTGTCATCACCTCCCAGGAAGACCTGATTTCCTGCACCCCAGCCAAGTTCTCACCTTCTGCTTTTCTTGCGGAAGAGAGAGCAAATCTGTCTCCTTTGGAGTCTGTAATGGAAATTGGGCACCACTACTAACAAGACTGTAGGTACCCAAGGACTCCCTAGATGAGAGATCAGGTGCAAACAGGAATTTGGACTGTATACTGCATAGTGTTCCCATTGAGGGGGAGGGGTTGGGGAAGAGAGAGAGAGAGAGAGAGAGAGAGAGAGAGAGAATATGTCTTTTATGGCCGTCCTCTGTGGCTGTCCAGTACTCACACGGAGTTTGCTTACCATACTTTTGCTTTGGAAAATAAAATGTGCCAACCAACATAATGCAGCTCCCCATGCATAGCTGAAATCATCGTTACCCCTCTTCAGAAATGCTGCCCTCCAAGAAGATCTTCTTGGTTCATTTGTTTTCCATGGCCACATCTGAGATGAGCATTGGGAAGTGGACTTTGTTTAGGGATTGGTGTGCTTTAGCATTTCCTTTGTGTTGTTGTAAGGTGAGGGACTTGAGGGTTGATTACCTGAAAGATCAGACAGTGATTATCAGCCTGACTTGCTTGGTACCTTAGCTTCCTTAAAAACGCAGTTGATTTTTAAGGGTTATTTGCTGCTGTTGACTTGTCACCAAAGTTGGTGATAATGGCAGGACCCAAGGTATTGAAGTTAGGACCTGGCCTGAGAAGTTGTCTCCTGGCCCTGGTTCTCTGCAGAGTGCTATAGCTCTTGCTTAACAGAATCCACGTAGAGCCAGTAAGAAGCAAGGGCAGCAGTGAAGCATGGTAGTACCTCTCAGATTACATATCTTCAGGATAGGAGCACTTACCCCTTTCTCAGGCACTAGAGGCTAAACAGTTGGCTTGGTATAGATCACTCCAGGCCCATTGGCATCTCTGACCTTTCGCACAGGCCAGTTTCACTAATGCATATTCTGGCATCCTGAATTTTCCCCACATTCTTCAGTGTTGCAGGCACAAGGTCCAAGTCTTCAGTAGCTGTTTGTTCATTATCAATGGTGATCATTTTTCCAGTTCAAGAGAAGACTCCTTGCCCTCCACCTGTGCCTTTACCCAGCTGGTTCCTGCTTTTTAGTATTACTTTTAACATTCTTCTTCCTGCTAACAGTTTCTTTTATATTAGGTAAGTTGCTTTCTGTTGCAAATAATAGAAAATCCAACTCAATCAACCATAAAGAGAACTGATTGGTTTACATCACTAAAACCTTGAGAGGTAGGGGAACAATAGGATTCAAGAGCAATTTGATCCAGAGGATTGTGATGTCATTGGCTCTCCATCACTAATAATTCTCAGTAATTTTCCTGTCCCGCCCTCCTCTGTGTGTTGTCTTTTTCCTGGAATTGGCCTCTTATGAAAGCAGAGATGACTGCAGTAGTTCCAAGTGTCATATCTGCAAGTCACACCATCCAGAGTTAGAGTGAACCCCCTTGTCCAAGCCAGAGCCTCAGGCTCAGTCACATAACCCTACCCTGAATCCATTAAAGTGGCTGGAAGATGGCTGGGAATGCTGATTGACTTAGTGTAGATCACAGGCTAATTCCTGGAGCATGGCTTAGTATTGGCTTCTCCAGGACAGCACGGATCCCTGTGAGGGCTCTTGAGAAGGAAGATCTGTCTATCCATCTCTCTGTTATTTATCTGCATCTATATATGTTGCAAACAAAAGAAATCCTCAGTGTTCTATGTACATTCCCATTTAAATCTCCCTGTAACTCCATGTGGATTCTTCTGATGGTTTATGGAAATGTTGAGTTAACAAGTGGTTCTGAAATTTGTTCCCATGATAGGCTTGCATAGCTCTGTTGAAGGTTTGTTGGCACCACCACTTTCTTTTGGTGGAGCCAACAAACCAACTAATTTGTCAAGGTGAACTGAACCCAGCTTGGAGATGGTTGTAACAACATGGGAAACTAGTCCATTTCTAGGATGATATGCCAGTACCCTCGTGCTGTTTACTCAGTGTGTCCTGTTTTTACCTTGGAAATGAAGGAAGTTGTGGCTAAATTCTCCTTCAAAGTATCTGCATGCTGATAAGATGAAAGAATGACTAAATGAATCTGGGCAGTGTCTTTTTCAGCTAGCCTTGTTCTGTTGTCCTGTTTGGGTTTGTAAAAAATTGTGTTTTTAATTTTACACTTTTTATCAATTGCCTGTTACTCAGCATTTCTGTTACCCTAAACCCCCTCCCCCACCTTTGGACTGTACAATTGGGATAGGAGTTTAAAATAACAACCTGTACAAACTTCCTTGAAACTTAACATTTGTAAAGATGGTGAAGCAGGTTTAGTTACAGAGATAGACTGGTTGGTTAATTATTGTACCTGCAGCAAAGTGGTGTTGTCTTTCTGCAGTTATTTCCATAAATAGACTATGTGCAGAAATCCACCCCAGGCGGACAGAGAGTTCCCATTCAACCACTTTTCTTAATTCAAATTGCTGGTTTGAGGTAGTTATTTTTGAAATCCTTCTCAGGTTGACTTCCCCCTTAATCCCTAAGCCTTCTTCCCTCATCTGCCAAATTATATGTAATGCATTGCAACTAGAGTGCTTTTGGCATTACACGAGAGACAGAGAACTTGAGATCTGATTTAAATGTTAATCTATTGTGACAGAGGTTGGGCACTCACAGTCTATTCTTGTGCACGACTTTCCGTGGACGTTGGCGTCAGCCTCACTGTCTACTTGGCGTCTGCTCCATCCCCAGAAAATGGCAGAAGACTCCCACCCTCACCTATTTTATTCCAAAACAGAGCCCAGCCTACTTCAAAATACATGAAACCTTCTTTGGGCTGCCTTTGTGGCCAGTGATATCTGGGACTGTTTATTCCAGGTGTGGTTGTCATGAATTTAAAAAATTAAAGAAGGTTACTCTAGTTTTCTTCTAGTATTAAAAACTTCTTATGTGGTAATTCTTATTTATTAGAGAACCTCCTGGTTTCATTTTAGTCTCTTTTTTGGCTTTTGAGAGCAAAAAGAAAAAAAAAAACAAATTTTTAAATGAGGGTCATAAATAAAAGATTTGTTTGTGGATTCATTTACATTGCTTGTAATTAACAATAATGAGTTAATTATCAGCCCTTCCCAATTTACTTTAAAATATCCAACTAAGTGCAGTTTCTGCAGCCTCTAAGAGACCTACTGAATATTTCAGACCAGAGCAAGAGGGCAATTTATTTAAATTGCTAAGATTTAAGCAAGCAGCTTGACTTTTATATAATATAGCATCTGGGTAATTCCTTAGTGGAAGAATCAAATGTACTTTCCACCCATTTGTGTTGGGCACCTATAAATATATGTAAGTATTTATTAGAAGTATTATTCAGTAGTAGGATAAATTTCACTTCTGCATTGGAAAAATTTAGAGGGGATGACTCTTAGTTTTACATTTTGGTGAAATTAACAAACATGGGCATACACATACACACATACACATACACACACTTACACACACTCTCTCTCTTTCTCCACATACTTTGCTATGTTCAGATATTTGAAAAGAACTTTAGCACACTTGACAGTGATCAGATTGGGACCCTGGGTGACTCCTCTGTTGGGGGACTGTACACATTTGAGTGAGGGTAGCATGCTGCCTTTGTAGCTTGCCTGTGTTTTTCCTGGTGGACTTTCCCACCAAACCAGAGGGAAACTGTTGTGTTTATGGCCTAGTCTTTTTGCTGCTATGGTGGCATGTTTGTTGGAATGATAATTAAGAACATGGATTCACTCTTGACAGGTTATTTTCTATGGGGAAACTCACTTATGAGTTGTGTTCTTTTCTGAATGTCAGTTTTGGATGCCTGGAATGAGATCTTCTGAGGGTTCAGTGTTGTAAGTGGTGGCAGAGTGCTTGCATGCCACAGACAAACCACTTCTAAGTAATCATGGCAGGTTTCTTAATCTCTCTGAGCTTCGATTTTCCTTCCTTATCATGGAGTTGACAATACTTACCTTGTAGAGTTATTTTGAGGATTGAAATAATTAATGTGTTTGAAGTTCTTTGGTATAGTGTCCACTATCTGGCAAGTGCCCAATAAGTGTTAGCAGCATTATTTTTCAAATAGTATTTTTTTGGGAAAATGCATTCTGAATTTCATCATGGAATGTGGAGGATATCATCTTGGAGGACTTAGGGGTTCAAGTCTGACTTTGGTGTGCAAGGGCTGGGAGGGGTGGATTGGACTCTGTGGTTGGAGTTTGGCAGTCTGTCATGGAAAGGAGAATGGCCTAAAGAAGAAAATGGAGATCATGGCTTCCCAGTAACTCTTTCTATGGATGGACTTTGCCTGGGAGAATGGACTGGGCGGGAGGTTCACTTTTGGCAGCAGGTTGGCAAATGGCGCAATAGCAACATGTCAAAGGCCTCTGACGTAGGTCTTCGGGAAAGAGAGGTTATGACATGAGTCATGTCAGGGTCATTTCTCCATTGGTGCCAAGAACCCATCTGAAATAATTTTGCTCAATTAAAGTGACTCCTTTCCCTCTCTCCTACAGTGGAAGACCATGGCCAAAATGGAGGTGAAGACGTCACTTCTGGACAATATGATTGGAGTTGGAGATATGGTTCTTTTAGAACCTCTCAATGAAGAGACCTTCATCAACAACCTCAAGAAGCGTTTTGATCATAATGAAATATATGTGAGTACACATGCAGTTCACCTGTGGTGTTTAGACTCAGTGTGTTGAAGAAGAGAGCTGGCTTTCCTATTTCAGACTTTTCTTCTCTCTTTGTTCCTTAGAGTCCAGAAGTATTTGTTTATACCCTCAGAGAGAGTTTTGAGTGTTTGCTGATTTGGCACATGAGTAATATTGATTAGAGTCAAAAATCTTTCCTAATGATGTTTAAAGAATGTCAGCTGTAATGCAGTGTATTGTGCAGGGTCTTGGGGAAATTCTAAAGCAAGTGGAATATTTTAGTTCCCGCCCACTGAAGAACATCTGTGTAGATGGGGTTCTGAAATCCATAGACATCTTGCATGCCTTCCTAATATTAGTAAAGTTTAAGCATTGAGAAGCTACTCATTAAAATGCAAGGCAATGAACTGTCTTGATATGAATCGTCTTGACATTTGTCTTTGGTAGAGACAGGAGCAAACTACCAGATACAAATATGTGCTTGGGAATAGTACAATGCCATATACACAATGCATTCATATAAATATAGACAACAGCAGAAAATTCTTGTAAAAATTCTTTATAAAGGATTTCACGGTGTTACTTCAGCAAGTTCTGTAAATACATTTAAAACATTTAAAGATAGATTTATCTGAAGCATTTCAGGAGTTTGCATAAAGCACAGCACTTGCATCTGTGGAGTTAAAGCTTATATTGTTAACCAAGGAGATGGGGCTTCAGTCCCCCACACCAGTAGCTGAGAAGAAAATGGGAAAGATTGGCTGGAAATGGCTTTAATAGATTTTGCCTTGCTTCTGAGTTCTTTTTTTTCTTTTTCAAAAATGTGTATCTGTACGTGGAGAAGAACTGGATTATTGAGACATGCTTCATTTTTTTTTAAAATCAATTTGGGGAAGAAATATAATTAAGTAAATAAACAAATGGAGATACAAATAAGAACAACTATAGCTTTTGTGGAAGCTAATATATTTTAAAAATCATGCGAAAATTATGTTATATGGCTTTCTGTCACATAACAGCTTTCCTTTCCCTTTAGACACCTGTGTTAGTCTGTTTAGATTGCTATAACAAAATAATGTAAATTGGATAGTTTATAAACAACAGAAAATTATTTTTCCCAATTCTGGGGAGTCTGAGGTGAAGTGGCTGGTAGATTCAGTGTCTGGTGAGGACCTGCCTCTTGGTTCATAGATGGTTCCTGCTCCCTGGGCTCTCTCATGGTGGAAGCCTCTTTTATGACTAACCTCCTTCAAATGGGCTCCACCTATGGCCTGATCACGTCCCAAAGACAGTACCTCCTAAAGCCATCACAGTGGTGATTAGGTTTTCACATACAAATTTTGGAGGAACACAGACATTCAGACCACAGTACCCAGCATGTTTCCAGGATAAGTTTGGGTAATTAATTTCTTCATGATGGTGAGTCATCATCCGGAAATTGAACTTTTCATTCTTCTTGAGGTATTGTTGGTGGTGGGGGAAGGTTGATGGTAGCCTGAGGCGTGTGTGTGTGTGTGTGTGTGTGTGTGTGTGTGTATCCTACTTTTGGACTATTAATTTGATAACTGGATACTGAACTGAGATGTAGTTACAGTTTAGAGGTTGTTTAAAATGCTGATTCATATGGAAAAGGTATAAAAGGGTGCTGTGAGCAGGGCAGAGGCATTGTTTGGTTTGGCAGTGGGGCTCGGTGTCATTTTTCCCTCCCAGTGCAGCAGTCCTGCTTTCAGGTGGGAAAGCCTGATGGTTCTGCAGCTTTAATTGAAAGTGTGGGCTGATAGCACATAAAAGACAGCCTTTAAACACTGGTATCTGAGATGGCGATAGGAGGAATCGATTAGATTGTAACTAACGTTACTTATCATTTTTCTTTTTGGCTCTAAGAAGCACAGTTCACTTTTTGATGAATGGAAAATAGGATGGAGAGGAGAACTTTTGGTGCACTTGAATACCTGGTTTGTTGAGGCCACTGAAAAATAAAACAGTCTCCTTTTTAACAAAATACCAAGTGTTAACATTCATGAGTCTTTAGCAGACGAAATGTCTGGGTTTCAGCCGTATATAATTTTATTTTCTAAACTATTCTTGGAATGCTCTTTCTGGTTAAAACAAAAGCAGAGAACTGACTTCTGTTTCTAGGTATTGATATCAATTAATGTTTTCCTTGATGCTCACGGGCTACCATTTCCATGAGTTGTGTGCATTCATTTTGTAACTTTAAATATGTAACATGTTGGAGGGCGAGACAGTTTCTATTTTTAAGTATTAGAAAAAGGCTGATTATAATGTATGTAGTGTGTTCCTGTTTTTTAAGTGGAGATTTATAATTGTACCCATGTTTGTATGTATTCAGAGAAAGGCTTGTTAACTTTGGGTACATGATAGGGTGGATAGGGCTATGGCAACAGATAGGATTATTCTTTTAGATCTCTGTGTTATAGCACTTAATATAGCTTTTGTAATAAGAAAAAAAAACCTGCATGATAAACTTGATTACCTTGCTTCCCAGCGCCTCACATGTCATATAACCCACCCTTAGGAAATCTATTTCTGGTTCTCATTCTGATGATATTCCTGCTTTGCTTTTGTTCATGGATTACTATAGAATTGTTTAGCTTGATGCTCAAGGCTGAGTTTACATGACACACGGCATCTTATTGCCTTGTACTAACTTTGTTTTTTAATTCATTCTCAGAAAATGAAGTTGCAGTTAGAAAAAAATCCCTTTTATAGCTCTATAGCTTTGTTTTATACTTTGGGTGACTTTCTAGGAGGAACCCTCATGCAACATATCGAATTGTCATGTTCAGAACCATGGTTGATAAGGGGGCTGTGAACGGAAGGATGTTTGACTTTTAACCTCTGGGTATGGCCCAAACCTCAGCAGTCTCCAGTAGTCTCCCATGTGAACCAGCCCTAGGTCAGGGAACCCTGTTCTTTCATCCTGCCATCTGTCTCATCCTCCTTCCTCCCTCTACATATCAAGAAGTAAGAACTAGTCCCCACTTTCACAGAGCTCTCAGGAGCAATTGCTTTGCCCTAGATGTGTTATCAACTTTCCAGCACATTCTCAACCCCCAGTGGTCCTTTGGATCTGTCTTCAGCTCAGTGCAAGGTCAGCTTTCTTGTGAGCACACTAAACTTGAAGCTTTGGGTAGGATGAGACTTTTTGGAACTTGTCAGAATGTCAGATTGTGTTAGAATGTGTTCCTTGTCACTATAGCGGTCACCCAGCCCAATCTGGTCTAAATAATAAAAGGAGATGTGTTCACTTGTATTCCTGGAAGTCCAGAAGTAGCTCTGCTTTCAGAACTGCTTTGACTTTGTGGTTCACTGATATCACCAAGGACTTTACTTCTTGCTTCCCAGATGCTTTGCCTCCGTAGCTGTTGCTTCATTCATGCCTCAGAAAGGCTTCTTCGAGGCAAAGTAGCTGCAGCAGTTCATGCTCTGCGTTTGCATGCTGCTATCTAAAGGGAAGTGGATGCTTCCATTGTAGCAGTCTACACCAGAGTGCTGGGGTTCACTCTGATTAGCCCACTTGAGTCACATACTCTCATGAATCCAGTGAGCATGGCCAGATGACAGGAATGAGCCAAGTGGCTTAACAAAATGTCATCTAACTACAGGATTGGGTTTGAGTCACCTTTTCCAAAGAACACGGGCTGTGTGAGTTATCTATCAACATACTAGGAGGAGAAGGGCAGTGGATGCTGAGGAGGAGGCTTACTGTAAACTCCTGGTTAGTGTGATAGGGAATTTTGTAATGAAGTGGCTTCATTGATGTTGCTGCTATGCTGAAGGACGTGCCCCACTGGGGAGCAATCATCACATGACTCCTAGGCTGCAAGTACACCCTGAGGCACACTTCCCAGACATTTCCACTGGTGAACTTCTAATGGCAGAGGTAAATAGGTCTTTCAGGGAATCTGGAGCATAGTTGAAGTCTGTCTGCTCTAGGCAAGTTTTGCTGACATTTTTGCTGCCAGAAGTAATTCAGAGTTTTCTTCTGTTCTGTAATGCATATGGGTTTATTTAAATCTCTTATACACCTCACAACCCTTCTTTGAGTAAAATGCATGCTCCTGGAATATCTGCTCTTTGCTTTGAGGTGAGTTCACATGTTGTTTAAATAAATTGGTTCATAGCCCTTTGTGATCCCACCAGAGTCTCCAAATCTGGGCAGTTCCAGAAGATCTTTGCAATAAGACCTGTGGGCTGTTCCGTTGGGGTGCAGGAGGATCAGGTGAGCTGAGGTGAAGGGAAAGGTTGGGCAGATGGGTGATACCCAGGGTCAGAGGCTGTTTGCTTTTGTTCTTCCCTCTTGGCAGAGAGTGGCTCAAGCTGGGGCCAGCTGCAGGACGTGCCTTTTGGTCTGGCAGGCTCTGTGTGGGGTCAATGGCTGGGAAACGCCAGTCCTGACATTCCCGAGCGCTGCTTTTCTGTATGCTTTCTGTCCTTTGTCAGACCTTCTTCCGGCCTCCCCGCCCCCGTGCACAAGCTGGATTGCAGTGGTGGCAGGATTTCGTGTGGACTTGTATTGTGTTGTGGGAGGTGGTAGAGCTGAGATCCAGCCAGACACCGGCTGTTTTTAGGGTGACTGGTCAGGACAGTGGTTCTGTTCAGGAATAGGAAGGCTGCAATTTAGCAAGAACAAGGCCCAGGACAAATTTGGAAACTGAAGAACCAAGGTGTCTGCTCTTTGACAAGAAGTATTTTTGGTGCCCACCAATAAATTTAGTTAGTTTTCTGTCTGAATTGTCAGGTTGAGGATCATCAAATATGTAGTCTGAATTAGCCCAATTTTAGGAGCTTGTGTCAAACCAATTGTCCTTGTGAGAGTGTCTGCTTTGAAAGTCTGGTAAAAGTTGTCTTAGTTTTTAGAAGTCAGTGCTAGAATTAGAATCCCCCTGAGACTAGGACCAGGCACATTTATGAAAGATACTCAAATATAAGTACTTTATATACTTTATACTACTGGTTAGCATTTATATATTTATTTG